AACTCCCTCCCTCCCTCCCTCCCTACCTCCCTCCCTCCCTCCCTCCCTACCTCCCTCCCTCCCTCCCTCCCTCCCTCCCTCCCTCCCTCCCTTCTTCCTCCTTTACCAAGAATCTCTTCAACTCCCACCGCTCCTGTGATCGACCCAAGATGCTTTACCGCCTGCCGCAGCTGCAAGCGAACAGTCACCACAACCGCCTCCTCCTTCCCCTCCCTCCTTCCTCCACCTGCCTCCCGCCTCCGCCTTCTGCCCCTGCCCCTGCCCCTGCCCCTGCTTCTTCAACCCACACTTGCTCCTCTTGCCCACTTTTCTCTGTCCTCCCACCTGCTCTGCCGCCATGTCTGCCGTCCTGTCTTCAGTGATGAAGGCCTCCAGAGTTTCGACACACTGCATGCCGTGAGAGGGCTGAAAGGAGGGGAAGAGCAGTGAAGAGAAGAGCAGAGCAGAGCAGAGCAGAGCAGAGCAGAGCAGAGCAGAGCAGAGCAGAGCAAGAGCAGAGCAGAGCAGAGCAGAGAAAGAGCAGAGCAGAGAAAGAGCAGAGCAGAGCAGAGCAGAGCAGAGCAGAGCAGAGCAGAGCAGAGCAGAGCAGAGCAGAGCAGAGCAAGAGCAGAGCAAGAGCAGAGCAGAGCAAGAGCAGAGCAGAGCAAGAGCAGAGCAGAGCCAGAGCAGAGCAGAGCAGAGCAGAGCAGAGCAGAGCAGAGCAGAGCAGAGCAGAGCAGAGCAGAGCAGAGCAGAGCAGAGCAGAGCAGAGCAGAGCAGAGCAGAGCAGAGCAGGAGGAGAGGGGAAGGACCTTTGTGAGGTGGTGACGGTGACGAGGACGCGTGAGGGTTGGAACGTCAGAGGGTCGAAGGTTGAGCTGCTTCTGAATGACTGAGAAGAAAGTCAAGAGGAGGGAGATAGAGGTGAGGAAGAGAGGGAGGAAGGAGCAAGAGATACGGAGGAGGAGAGCAGACGAGGAGAGGGGAGAGGATGGGATGGGGCCAGGAGGATGGAGGGGGCAGCAGGAGCAGCAGGGGGTGGAACAACAGGAAGGAAGGGAGCAAAGAAGGAAGAGGGAACGAGAGGAGGAGGGAGAGGCGGCGGCGGCAGCAGCAGCAGCAGCAGCAGCAGCAGAGGCAGCAGCAGCAGAGGCAGGAGCAGGGAAAGGGAGCAGGAGCACCAGCACACCAGCAGGAGAAGGAGCAGGGATTTAGGGGTTGTGAGGGAGACCATCTCTGAGCTTGTCGACGACGTTGTCAAGACCTTCCTTGGTCTTGCATGACATGAGCTCAACGAGCGCGACGTTGTCTTGGTTGTACTTCCCCAGCAGCTCCTTCACCTGCTCTCTCCTCCTGTCTGCCTCCTCTGCCGACATCTGGTCTGACTTGTTGAGGATGATTAGGGAAGGGAAGTCCTCAGCAGAAAACTCGTGGACAGGCAGGGGAGATGAAGCAGCAGGGGAACTTGAGGAGGGAGAGGAGGAGGAGGAGGAGGAGGAGGAGGAGGAGGAGGAGGAGGAGGAGGAGGAGGAGGAGGAGAGGTGCTCTAAGATAGAAACAAGCTCTTCCTGGCAGCAGGTGACATCTGTCACCATGACCCGCACGTTGGCATTGAAGTAGGCTTCCACCGCAAGCTCTATCCCCTCCTCCTCCACTGCATCCCCAGCCTCCTTCCTCAACCCGGCCGTGTCCTTCACCATCACCGGCATCCCCGCCAGGTTCAGCTTCACCTCCACAATATCTCTCGTCGTCCCTGGCTGCTCGCATACAATCGCTGCCCTCCTCCTCGCCAGCGCGTTCAGCAGCGAGCTCTTGCCTGAGTTGGGCTTCCCCACCAGCACCACCTGCACTCCCTCCCTCATCGCCTCCCCGCACTTGTCAGACGCCAGCAGCTGCTTCATTGACCCGCAAACTTGGCTCGCGCGCTGCCGCGAGGAGAGGAAGACGTCGGTCCCGATCTCCTCGTCCTCCCCAAAGTCAATGAACGCTTCCACGTGCGCGATGCAGGCTACCAGCTCCTCCCTCCACCCGTTGTACATCCTCGACACCTCTCCCCCCAGCTGCCGCACCGCCACCTTCCTCTGCATCTCGGTATCCGCATGGATCAGATCCGCGATCCCCTCCGCCTCTACCAGGTCCACCTTCCCATTCAGCAGCGCCCTCCTCGTAAACTCTCCTGCCTCTGCTGGACGGCAGCTGGGGAAACTCGCCAGGCACTGCAGCAGGGCGTCGACGACGGCGGGGGAGCCGTGGAGCTGGAACTCAGCTGAGTCTTCTCCCGTGTAGCTCCTGGGGCCGCGGAAGAGGAGGAGGACGGCATGGTCGATGACGTCCCCTGTCCTGGGGTCAAGCACCCTCCTGTAGTACGCGAACCTCTCCTGCTCCATTGACTTGTCCACCATCTCGTTCGCTCGCTTCCATGCATCCTTTCCCGACATCCTCACCACCGCCACTCCTCCTCTCCCTGGAGGGCTCGACAGCGCAAAGATCGTGTCCTCCTGCTCGCCAGCAATGCCGTGGAACGATCTCAGCTGACTATGATGATGGTGCAAAGGAGGACAGGAGAACGAGGAGCATCGGACGAGTACCTGAGAAGCTTGCAAGGGACATGACTGACGCCAAGGTTGTCCTCCTACTACTCCTTCTTGTCCCGCCCCCCGCCCTCCTCTTCCTTCTCTACTTCCTGCTCCTCTAGTTCCCCGGAGTTCTGCTGACCCAAGACGAGATGCAGAGCAGCACCTGGAGGCCCCCGAGAGCGCATGAAGGCCCTTGCAAACAAGCCAACCAGCTCGTCGGACTGACATGTCGACGAAGCAGGGAAGTTGATATCTGAGATGGAGTCAGCGGGAGTTGACTTCCCCTTTATCTTGTAGCCAGCACAAGCCTCTCTACTTCCAACTTCAAACTTGCCATTCATGCTAACAACCCTCAGCAGCCTCGTCGCTCCTTTTCCTCTCCTCTCCTCTCCTCTCCTCTCCTATCCTATCCTATCCTATCCTATCCTATCCTATCCTATCCTCTCCTCTCCTCTCCTATCCTATCCTGTCCTGTCCTATCCTATCCTCTCCTCTCCTCTCCTCTCCTCTCCTCTCCTCTCATCTCATCTCATCTCATCTCATCTCATCTCATCTCATCTCATCTCATCTCATCTCATCTCATCTCATCTCATCTCATCTCATCTCATCTCATCTCATCTCCTCCCCTCTCCTCTCCTCTCCACTCCTCTCCTACTCCCCTAGCCTCCCCCTCAACCATGCTAGTCCTGCGTTCCCTATAGAGCTCTGTATGAGATTTTAGTAGGAATGAACTTCAATATACTCCTCAGTACTACGGTACTAGTCATCACTGAAAGTTGAGTAAAGTCATCATAGTAATAGAGGCCTTCCGAGCCCAACCCAAGCAAGTTTATAGTGTTAGTTCTTTGACAGTTTCATTGGCAAGTTGATTGGAACTGCTACTGCTAGTTAGTACCCGGTACCACAGCATCGCCGTTGATTTCACTCAAAGTTAAGTGCAGTGTTGAGGGTCACTGGGGGCCGGGCTGGCCGCCGGGAGATCCGAATCGCCGGTGATTGAACTTCGGAAGTTCGGCCTCTGACTGTCAGTCGCTCCAACCTCCGACCCGGGCCAGCACTCAGCGCGGCACCTTGGACACAACGGAACCCGGCGACTTCGGCCGACTCGGAAGTTACGGACCGAGTCGGGACGGAGGCCGCCGGGTCCCGGGCTGCTCATGAGCGGCTCAGCGGCTCAGGGCTAGTAGAGTCAGCCTCAGACGGCGGGCTCCGGCTCTGAGCGGCCTCCGAGTCCGAGTGCGCTCCTCATCAGTCCTTGACGGTGCTGGCAGGCAGCGGCTCAGACGCTCCCGTTAAAGGCACTCCTTAGCGGGTCCTGATGCGGGCCCTACTGATGGGATGCTACCGTCGCGTTTACATGTATTTTATAGCTGTACCATTCAGTTTCAGTCAACTGTATTAATCGCCACCACCTCCGTCCCCTCCTCCGTCCCCTCCTCCGTCTCCGTCTCCCCCCCCGACTCCTCCGTCTCCTCCTTGCGCGCTCCGCTCTGCCACAAACGCTCAGCGGCTCTCAGCGACGCAGTGACTTCCGAAACAAGCAGCTAGCACATCGAGAGCTCAGGAGCGAGCATCGTACCTTGAGCCAGGCGAGCGGCGATCTGTGGGGCAACTTGAGTGGGCAAGAGAGGCTAAGGAGGAGCTCTTACCTTGGCTGCCGGGAGAGTTTGAAAGATGATCAGTCCTGGTCCAGTGTATTCCGTGTTGAAGAGGCCCTGCAGCAGCCCCGTCAGCTCCTGCCTCCCTCTCCCTCTCCCTCCTCTCATCCTCACCTTGCCCCCGAAACACATCATCGCGCAACCCCCAGCTCTTCGGATGCTCACATCAACCGTGGAGGACACAGCAAGCATGCAGTCCTGCCCACCTTCGCGTCACTCCCACCATTCTGATCGCAGGTAGCGTCAACCGTATCAAGGATGTACTTCTCCCCTGGAGCAAGGTTCTTGGTCATGATCTGCCATCTTCATCTCAAACTCCATCGCTCGGTCCTCTGTGCTCGTCACAAGGCTCCTGCCGCTCCTCCATCAAGCTCCATACCTGCCCAACGTGGCCAGGAAGGATCCTTTCTGAATGGTGATGCCGCTG